AGAAATCAGTCAATTTTCATGCAAGACCCCTCATTCGAAGTAAATTTGAGCAGAAAACCTCAAAATAGTCCTCTTTTAAAGATCTGAAAAAGGTAAAAAATCCAGAAATCTGGATAAAATCCGTAAACACTGAGAATCCGATATCAAATATACAGATGATTTTTTTCACATGGGGCGAAAATTTTTTATGGTCGACCAATTTTAGTTACGGGTGTGCTACCAATATATTTCATTTCCAACCGTGTGTTTTACTTGATACCCGTATATTTCATTTACTAACCATATATGTGTATTTCATTTCCAACCGTGTGTTTTATTTACCACCCGTATATTTCATTTACTTCCCATACATTTTATTTCCAACCGCATGGTTTTTATGCCAACCGTATAATTAATTAGTGTTAAATCAGTATTTTATCAAGATTTTAATGTGCTCCCGGTAATATCGATCAAATATTCAACGAGTTTTGATTGTGTCTGGAATAAAATAAAATGTTCAATAAATTACGTGTTCTTGAAAGGTTTATCAAAATGGCTATTGCATATATTTTTGTGTAAAGTAGCAAACTGTTATGTAAACATACTTTTTTTTATAATGTCTAATATAAGGTTATTGTTTATTATATAAAGCCACCAATTTAAAAATATCACCGTCACGGGAATTCAACAACGTCACTGAGTGTAAAATCTCTCATTGCTACTTTTTTTTAAAGTTAAAGAACCATTTTATAAGCGGACAGAAATATTATTTGATCGGTCTGTGTTACTGAATCAAGAAATCAAATACATAATCATGTTTTTATTGCGCTACACTTTAATACAATTACAAAATGTGGAGCGATTTGAGGTAAGTGGTATAAACTACAAATTACAGCAAAGAAATTATGACGATATAAAAAGAAATATTATTTTTGAAGTGTAATCCCCATCTTCTTTTCAGAAAGTTGAATGTTTTTGCGTTTTCTGGTTAATTTAAAATATTTTTTGACTATACAATACCGTTACGGTGTTGAGATTTTGTAAAACAAGTTCCACTAAAAGCCCCTTTTGTCTTAAAATTCTAAAGACTGCATAACATAGGACGTAGAAGATACTAGTTGTCGAAACAAAGTCAAAAATGTATCGCTTCGAGATGGTTCAATAATTCGGAACTCTGATACCATGAATGCACACTCACGAGATAATTACCCGTATAGGCCTAAACATGTACACACATAGCTGTGAATAAAGTATTATTACTGGTATTTCATTAGTAGGCCTACTGTTTAGTATAACATTTTCTACAATATAGATATTATTATTAATATTAATAACCAACTTACAGATTATAAAGAAAAGTGTTTGTGTCCCACTGAGTGTCATGGCAAGCGTCTTGTCCCAGTAACTGCCCTCTGATTAAGACTTTTATAACCCTGTACAGCTGTGATATGGTTAAAGCTATTTATAAATCAGTAATTGTTCTGTCATACCTATACAGTGTTATAGTTTATTGCTATTTATAGCCTAGATTTCAATTAAAGTAGCCCTGCCAATAATAATATTATATGAACTGAATATGAAATTAATTAACGCTCTACTGTTCTGCGCAAAGTGGGATAATGAAGACTGTCATATACAGTGTGATATGAGGGATATTTTGATATACCGGTGCGGTAGTTAATTAGTAGTGCCATCTGCGACTATCCCTTGCCATGTAATTAGTAGATTATTTAATTATTATGACAATGCAATGAATTATCATTCATCATCATGATGATGACACTAATCTCAAATAAAGTCAATTTAATTGTCAATTCCATAACTAATTTGCAAGATGGACATATTATGCACACTGGCCATTTCATACTTACTCTAATTATGTGATATTCAATTTAGTAATTATTTTATTTTCTATTATCAGAGGGGGCACGAAAACCGTACACATTTGAGACCTAGTTGAAGCTGAAGTTCAACGAATTACAGCGTGTTTGATATCTTAAACCAGACATTATATGTGGCACTGAATCATGGCTGAAAGGTGTCAAACCTGGACTAAACCCATCCCAGGATGCCATCAAGTCGTGTGAGATCTTCCCAAACCACTACAAAGCCTACCGTAATGATAGAAGTTCACTTGGTGGAGGAGTCTTTGTACTAGTCCATGAAGACCTGATATCTATTGAACAACCTGTATTCGTCAACAAATGCGAATTAGAATGGGTCAAGATTCAGCTCAAAGGCAGAAAAGAACTCTACATCGGATGTTTTTACATGCCTCAACGTGATAGCACCCAGCTTCAAGAACTCGACAAAGCCCTGGAGTTGGTGTCAAGGACCAAGAATCGTCACGTTATATTATGCGGAGACTTCAATTGCCCTGACATTGACTGGCCATCGCTAGCCGTCACTCCGACAACTTCTCGCCAAGTCCACCAAGATCTGATTGACCTGTCTGTGAAGCCTCACTACAACAGTCAAAAACCTAGAAAGTACCACCAATTCAAGAAGGCCAACTGGGACAAATTGAGAAGACACTGCCAAGAAATATCGAGTAAGATTGTTTCATTGTACCACCAAAACTCAGGTGCTGAGCATCTGTGAAACTTCTTCAAGTCATCCTTACATCAGGCCATAGAGGTAAACATCCCGACTAGGTCCGCAAGACGACTAAACACTCCCCCATGGCTAAATCGACAATTAAAACGTATGCTACGGAAAAAAAAACGCCTGCATCACCAAGCACGTAAAACTAAGATCTGGAGTAATTACACACATTACCAAAGGGAATGCAAGCGCGCATTCAGGCAAGCAGAATGGTCATACATCAATGAAACCATCCAGACCGGACTACAGAATAACAACACGAAACCATTCTGGAAATACGTGAAGTCGAAGAAACAAGACAACATCGGTGTCTCCCCATTAAAGAGCAAAGGTCACTTGCTATCTGATGGAAAATCCAAGGCTGAGGCACTAGTAGACCAATTCAGCTCGGTATTCACAAGGATTGCTTCCACCATCATGCCGCCTACCCAAAAACAATTAAGACAAGCATTCCAGATATTATGATTGGTGAAGAGGGGGGTCAGAAAACTGCTCGCTAACATACAGACTGCCAAAGCGGCAGGCCCCGATGCCATACCAAACATGGTACTCAAGGAGTGTTCTACTCAGCTAGCCTTAGGAATCTTCCGTATCTTCCAGAGATCACTTGATACAGCTGTTCTACCTAGTGACTGGTTAAACGCTAACATCGCCCCTGTCTTCAAAAAGGGAGACCGTCATTTACCAGAAAACTATAGGCCAGTATCTCTAACATCAGATACTTGAACACATTGTCACAAGATCCTCACAGACTTCAACCATGGCTTTTTGGTTGGTTACTCGTGTGAAACGCAGCTAGCAACCACCATAGACGACCTCTCATCCAATCTAGATAGAGGCCTGCAGACGGATGTCATCATTCTAGATTTCTCCAAGACGTTTGATACTGTCCCACATAACGAACTTCTACACAAGCTGAGTGCATATGGAATCCGGGGTCAACTTCATACATGGATCCAATCATTCCTCTGTAAAAAGCTGATGACGGTCGTAGTTGAAGGTGAGCACTCCAGAGCTCTGCCAGTTGAATCCGGAGTGCCCCAAGGGACTGTACTAGGTCCCCTATTATTCCTTTGCCATGTGAATGACATGCCAGATGCTGTTAAATCAACAATACGTCTCTTTGCTGACGACTGCCTATTGTATAGGGTAATCCGCAACACTAAGGACCACATAACCCTTCAGCATGACCTACAGAACCTTGAAATCTGGGCCCAGTCATGGGGTATGCGTTTCAACGCTAAAAAATGATATGTACTACGTGTCAAACCAAAATCTTCACACTTTTACCAACTAGACGGTATCTTCCTCCAGGAAGTCAATAACAACCCGTACTTGGGACTGACTATATCTTCTGACTTGAAGTGGGGAACCCACATCGATAACATATGCAAAAGGGCCAGCTCGATGTTAGGATTCATTCGTCGAAACCTCTACCACTGTCCTCCAAGAACCAGGAAATCAGCCTACATCGCTCTTGTCCAATCAACACTGGAATACGGAGCCATCATTTGGGATCCCTTCCTCAAGTCCGACATCGACAAACTTGAAATGATCCAGAGAAAGGTAGCTAGGTTCATCACAAGAGACTACAGGACAAGGACCCCAGGCCACGTCACACAGCTGTTAAAAAACCTAGAACTCCCATTACTTCAAGAACGTCGGAAAGATTTGAGGCTCACATTCCTCTTTAAGGTGGTTGAGGGGCTGGTACCAGCCATACCTCCTGATAAATATTTAAAACCCATTAGAAATAAGCGTCGGATAACACCTAAAACATTCACAAACTTTAATACAATAAACATTGTTGAAAACTCTGCTACTTCCAATGCCAAGTGCTTCACAGTAAACGTCGCGAAAACGGTCACTCACAACCACTCATTTTTTTTATCAGAACTGTGATAGACTGGAATAAACTTTCTGATAATCAAGTAACATCGCCATCTGTGGAAACATTCAAAGCCCGCCTCCACAGTGATTAGTTTTATTAAGCGCTCCTCCTCATCCGTCGATTAAGTGCCATTAAAATACAGATGTGACGTCATCCTTTGATGTTGGAGTACCATTATTTCAAATAATCGTACGAGCAATGTGCCAAGCTTAACTTGGTAAAATATTGAACTCGAGTGACGTATTTAATTCATTGCAAAGCACGTGCAAGTGTCTGTATTTTATGTTGTTTAATGGTCTCCAGCTTAAGACATTGCGTAATATATTGTAAAAACATTCGGGCCTCACGGCCCTCATGTTGTTACAATATATTACTTTGTCTCGCTCTCGACCATTAAACAATACGTAGTGGTAAATTCGATGTACCCACACAGATACAGACAGATAATAACATTCGAGAGTGCGAGATTCTTCGGGTAAAAGAGACCGGTAATTCAAGAATAAATCGTAAGAGTAGCCTCCCCTTAGTTGCTGAAGAAAAAATTTGCAAGTGAAGTCGGACGTTTTAGTTTTAGAAAAGTTTTTCAAAGTTAAAATGTCAAGGCAACCTAATTTACTACCCGAAGGATTTCCCGATCCAGACGCCGTCTTTGCATCTTGGTATCCGATTATCATCGCTATTGTATGTGGTGTCGTTTATGCCATAAGGTATTATAAATAGGCCAGTAGCCTACATAAAATTATTTCTTCCGTCGCCATTATTTATTGTCAGTCGTCAATCCCCCTTTTCATAATTCATTCATGCTTGTCGGCGAAGGGTTTTTTTTTCATTGACGTGTCACCCAAGTCTTGGCCAATCCATTGGGGCAGAAAAATTATAGAAAAAAGGGTCAATCATACATTTAAAGACATTTATAAATAAAGATATTATATATATGATGTTCAACAAATGGATAAAATAAATAAATAAATAAGTTATTATAATACTATATTAATAAGGGCAAAAATTGTTTGAAAACACAGTGGAGGATACCTTGAAAAAGGTGAAGGGTGGGGGCACACCTTTTCAATTGATTTTTCTTAGAAAAAAAAACCTGTTGAAGCACAGGAGTTGGAATTTAACAGTATTTTATACTGTTGTAAAAATAGACTAGGCTACTTATATATCACTTATTGTTATAAATACCCATCCACGTACAGGCTACGATGGCCAAAGTAGCAGCTAGGTAAACATGCAGTACAGGATAAAAGAATATAACTAAATATAAATGCAATCTACTTCTACAATCCAAATACAATTTTTTGGGGGTTTGGACGGCTGAATGGTTAGCATGTGCGCGCTGTATCAAGGTCTGTCATTATGTCAACTGGCGGGGTTTCGAACGTGACAAGTAGTAGGGTCGCCCCTCCAACCTTGTTTTTTTATCCAGGTCCTCCGCTTTCCTCCCACTGCTAAAGACCCTGACACGCAAGTTAATTATTGAAATAAAATTGAACCATGTGTTACTCCCACAATGACTTAGTTTGTGTCGAGAGGACCTTAAACCCCATTTTTCTCTCTATGCTTGAATATTGTCAAGATATGTCACTCTAATCCAAGACGATAGAATAAGTAAGGGCCGGAACAGAGCACACACAGTCTTTTATTAAAAAACCTCTGCACATGCAGATTTCTCCTAGACCAATAAACGTCATTTAATAAACAGACTGATCCATTATGGCACATGGTGAACCAGCTTACGTTTACAACAATACAATTAAAAAAACAAAAAAAAAACAGGAATGCAATGCCTGTTGAACCCTCGATTTTACATGTAATCGCTTTTTGGGTATTTTTTTTTTTTTTTTCAACTATTCACAATGTCAGGCAATCTATACACTGCTGATTCACTCGGATATATTTTTCTTCAATCTGATTGTTTCAATTTGTATAAATACTCCCCCAAAACAATATCATACATGTAACCACTTGTTTCCAAAAATTACATTATTTACGTCAGCCAAGCTCTGTCACTGCCTCCATTTGGTGATGTCACACAAAACAGATGCAACTATATATCTTTAATCAGTTCATTTAAAACTCCAAGCCTCGATAATTGCATGGACCATGATAATTGTACCGCCCTTCTCCCAGGCCTTAAAACTTAAACTCATTGATAAACTTCAAAAGGTCCAAAACTCTGTGGCACAATTAATTTCTCGAACAACACGCTCAGTTCTAATTACATGTAATTGTATCTAAATAACAATTTTTATTTAAATATATTTTATCATGTATGCTCTTTGTTATCTCATTTTATTATGCAAATTTCATATTGTCATGCTCTATAATATGTCTTTGTAAAGTGCATATGAGCACATTTATGTGGCCGTTGTGTGCTATAGAAATACTACTACAATAATAATAATAATAATATTCATGGTCCATTAAACTCCTATTTTTTTAAATATTTTTTTAGACAATATTTACGAGGACCAAAATGTCAGGGTACGGCTGATTTGAAAGGTAAAACAGCCATTGTTACTGGTGCTAACTGTGGAATAGGCAGACCTATAGCATTGGATCTGGCTTGTAAAGGTCGGTATTATATATGAAATGAAGTTTAACGTCCTATTGTTCTGCTCCGACTGGGTTAATGAAGATGGGCATACACCACACAGTGTGCTATGAGGGAAATTTTGCCCAGACAGCAGAGCCATGGCCTACTTTTATGTAATTCCAACTGCCAAGCGAATTTTTACATGCATGATATTTAATTAAACCAGTGTTGAAATCAGTTTGTGTCGCAATGCCTTTTATTTTTTTCATTGTTTACTGTCAAACAATAAAAGTAGTGCAGCTTTATGGTTAAGTGCTTTTATTTTCAGATATACATGTATATAATTCTCTTATATTTTTTTAAAACTAAATATCACTTTAGCATATTCTGCTATAAGGCTGGTGTCAGTATTGTTACCTTACCTAACAACTTTATGGAGTGGAATTCACAATATAATTTTTACTCTTAGAGTCTTAATCTAGTCCTAGTAATGCTTATACATGTACATGTGTGCTTACTTTTGTGCATATACACTTGGCTATTTACACTTGAATAATTCTTCCTAACAATGACTTGTTTCTTAAATATTGTACATGTACATGTAGTTTGAAATTTAATTTAGTCTTGGTCAACCAGAACCGCATAGTCTTCAACGTACGGAGGGTCTAGGACACATGTGTAACTTGGAGTTTGCAATTCTGTCAATTCAGGGCGTTCCGGAATGACAATCGAGCACCCCCATAATTCTTTCATTATTATAAACCAACCTGAATCGTGACGACGAATTAGGATTAATTAAAAAACATAAATATGGCCCATGAAGAGAGAAATTTTACAATAAGAAAAATTAGGAATGTTGGATATTGAACTGGCGATGCAATCCAATGGATTTTCTGAAATGGCATGCTAAAATTAATTTCATGGGGGCGTCAACATTTTGTTTTAGGAATAGTTACCTCCCTTTAGACTTTGTTTATGATAATGTAAAAGACCGAATAATCTAGCCAGTGACCTATTATTCTCAAATGTTGACAACGCATCCACACTAATTTATATTTTGCTTTATTTCCATAGTTACTTTTAATTTACTGTGATTTATTTTTATATTTAAGGCAGATGGTTTTGCACACACTGTAGAATCATAAGGCCTGTTCTCTATGCAATCACATGTAGTTAGTATCCATATTTATTTCAGGAGCTCGAGTTATAATAGCTTGTAGAAATTTAACAGCAGGAGAAGAGGCTTTGGCCAGCATTAAAAAGGAAAGTAGAAACGAGAATATTGTGTTAATGAAGTTAAATTTAGCATCTTTTGTGTCCATCAGAGAATTTGTGAAAGAGTTCAAAGAAAGTAAGTGTTTTGTTATACAGAAATGAAAAATTTGAATACGTTTTTATACACCCCCCATAGAGATATGATCGTATATTATTGTGACCTCTGTCCATCGTCCACAATTACTTGTGAACAATCTACAGACTACATTTATCATCCGATCGTTTTAAAATTTATATATGTTGTTTACATTGGTGAGACAAAGAAGCTTATTTTGTTTCAATGATTTCTGTTAATTACTTCTATGGCCCTTGTTTCACCTTGTAGAACTTTGTGAGTGCTCTAATGACAAAAGTTATCAAACCTGTATATAATTTATCTGAATTAGTAGAACACACCTCAAGAAACTTATAAGCTTTATTAAAACTACTCAAAAAAGTGAAATTGATATCAGTGTCATGTAAATGCTCCCATTACCCAAGAAAAATAAATATTCGACTTCCTGGATGGAAAAATAAATATTCGACTGCCAGGATGATTTAGCTGCTGGCAACCTATCTTTTTCAAGTTATTCAAATTCATCTTTTAGTATTCAATATGGATGAATTTAAACTAATGGAATTTGATCTGTTTGCTCATCTGTGAAATAATTATTGATATTTTAATTAAAATCACATGAATATTAAACAGATGTCATATTGTCTAGGGGTCAAATTCAAGTAATTTTTCAAGGTTATTTGAACTGATTTTTTACTATTTGTTAATCAATGTCAAATTAAAAACTAATGGAATTTAATCTGTGAATTATTTACTTCCATGAAATCAACTGATATTCAGAAATAAACAAACAAATCAAGAAAATATAGCCAAAAACAGTTTAAAAATTTATCATTTAAGTTGAATCAAATATAATAAATAATATCAACAGTTTGACTATTAGACTGTTCAGTACAACTGTAACCAAAACACAACACAATATCCAAATTGTCCAATGACCAAGAATTTTTATACGCCCACATTTTCATGTGGACGTATATTGTCGTCACCCCTGTCCGTCCATCCACAATTGTTTGTGAACAGTCTACAGGTCACAATTTTTATCCGATTTCAATGAAACTTGAAATATAGGTTTATCACCCTAAGATCTCGGTTCCTTTCGATATTGGCATGTATCGGACTGTAACTTCATGGATTATGGCGCCTGATTGTACGAAAAAACACGTTTTTAGCTTTTGAACACTGTAGAGGTCACAATTTTTATCCGATTTGATTTAAACTTGAAATGTATGCTTATAACCCAAAGAAACTTGTTGAAACTTGAAATGTAAGTTTATAACACAAAGATCTCGGTTCCTTTCGATATTCGCGCATATCGGACAATAACTTCCTGAATTATGGCCCCTGATTGTACGAAAAATCACGTTTTTAGCTTGTGGACCCTATAGAGGTCATAATTTTTATCCGATTTAAAAAACCTTATTATAATATCAACGTTACACCCTAAGGACGACTGAATTCGTATTTCGTGAAAATCGGCCCAAAATTGACAGACAAAATGGCCGCCGTTCGTTCTCAAATAGCGTAAAAAACATGGTATATCAAGGTTGTGGACCCTATAGAGGTCACAATTTCTTTCCGATTTTATTGAAACTTGAAATGTAAGTTTATAACACAAAGATCTCAGTTCCTTTCGATATTCGTGCATATCGAATTGTAATTTCCTGAATTATGGCCCTTGATTGTAGGAAAAATCACTTTCTTGTTAGCTTGTTCTCTATCCATCTCTCGAAAATGTGGGCGTATCCTGCCTGGCAGCCGCTGGTTTGTGTTCTTTGTGAACGATTTTTTATGCCATGTGACCAAGAAATGATATATTTTTTTCCTGTTATTTGTTCTCAGATTAAAGGGAGGCAGACTACCATTAAATTTCACCATCTCGCAAATCCACAAATTGCAGTTTGTCTATTTGCAGAAATTCTCTATCTCTCTTTTCTCCCCTTTTGCATAGCCATTTTTATTGAATATTTGGTCTAGAATGAGAAAAGAGGGTTTTGGTAAATATTCATGCTTTAGAGACGGAAGGATAACAGAGATAAGATGTTGATAACAGTGATACCGGTAGTAGCATGGTTTTAGTATGCTACTTCAGGTTTATGTATCTCAAAATTTCATTGGTCGACCTTATACAAAATCTAGAGCAAACATGACCATTTGTTGCTCTGTCTGTAGTGAAAAGCATTCAGCCCAACGAAGATTTGAGGAAAAGTTGAAGCCGGCAAAGGGACAGAATCAACAGTGAAGTGTACATGTAAATGGGGAAATTAATAGTGGTCTACCCCCGATTATCTTTTTCATGTGCTAGTTATCTTTTCCTGATGATATATATATATTTTATTTACCACAGAGGAATCACGACTAGATCTGCTGGTCAACAACGCTGGTGTTATGATGATGCCATTTATGGAAACTGAAGAAAATTTTGAAATGCAATTTGGAGTGAATTATCTAGGTATGTGTTACTTTTAAAAAAGTTATGAAATAACACTTTTTTAAAAAAACATCCACCTATCTGCAAAATATATTTGGACTGTCTTTATTTATCAAAAGTTGTATAATCCACTCCCACTTAAAGAGGTAAAATTTGTCAAGTTTCTCATGATTTTCCATCCTGGTTTCCCCTTGTTGGTGGTGCAGTATGGAGTCCTGGCACACAAAAATGTCTAGTTATTCGGATGGGCAAAAAAAGAAACCTTGACTTGGGATTCAATGAATAGTTGATAGAGACAAGTAGGAACGTAAATCTTGATTCATTTCATCACTTTCCGGCGTGGTTTCCCCTTGTCTGTGCAGGACGAGGGCCTGACAAGGACAGCTGTCTAGTCATTCGGATGGGACAAAAAACCGAGGTTCTGTGTAAACATTGGCATGTACGTGACAGATCCCTTGGCAGTTCGAAATCAATATATGAGTAGGCTGTAGCACCACTGTCAGGCAAAATTTTCCTAATAGCACACTGTATAGCGTAACACGTCTTCATTAGCCCAGTTGGTGCAGAACAGTAGGACCCCATTTCATTTCATTTCAGCAAGTTTACAAAAACAGTACTGGATGACTTTTATTCTGGGTTTCAAAATGTGTAACTGTTGTATATTCTGCTTCATCTTTGTCTAACCAAAGACATTTCTTTATAACTTGTGTTCAGTAATCAACCTACCAATAAAAACCCTTGATACAGAAAATTGATGAAAATGTTTGGAATGGCTTTGGTTATCAAAACATTTGATTGGTTGTCTATCAATGTCAAGGGTATTGTCTTTTGATTAGAATTGATTAAAATAACACATGCATTATTTTACAGGAACTTTCCTGTTGACAGAGTTATTATTAGATGTGTTGGTGAAGACAGAGGGCGCTAGAATAATTAATACGACAGCTGCTGCGTATAATCTGGGAGAAGTAAATTATGACGATATCAACCTAGTTAAAGATTATTCCCCGGGGAAAGCATATGCACAGAGTAAATTTGCTCTTACGTTATATTCTGTGCACCTAGCAGAAAGACTGAAAGGTTAGTGCTTTAATTATGGGTTCGCGAAGTCTGGGGGTGCGCAGGAAAATATCAAGTAAATCTGTATTTTTTTGCTGATATTCCGACAGTGGATTTCAGTAGCTCATATCAGAATCATATTAATAGGAATGTTGACCATCTGGTTATGGGTTGAGGTTTCTGATCAGAATAGATATTAAGAAAACCCATGTTAGGGTTTATGAAAGGCACAAACCTTAAGGCATAAAGCTGGAAATATGGGAAATGTGACAAAGGCACAAACCTTAAGGTCAAATGCTCTGAATATGGGAAATGTGACAAAGGCACACACTCTAAGGCCTAACGCTCTGAATATTGGAAATGTAACAAAGGCAAACACCCAAGGCCAAAATGCTCTGAATATGGGAAATGTGATAATTGCACACACCTAAGGCCTAAAGCTTTGAATATTGGAAATGTGACAAAGGCACACACTTTAAGGCTAAACACTCTGAATATGGGAAATGTGACTGATCAAAGAAAATACATATGTGGGCTGTCTCGTTAGATTTGTAAAATGAACCAACAGGGTCCATGAGTATATAAAAGGTTGTCCGTGAAAACATTTCTAGGGAGAATTCATTTTTCACCATGATAGAGATGAATTAGAGAAGAAACTTTAGGGTTATGTTAGAGACTTAAAATGATAACAATATTAATTACAATTTCAAATTTCTGTTTTGTTTTGATTTATTAGACTGAACACCACTGTACACATCCATTGTTCTTGTCTCTAACTGTTGTTACTTCCCTTTTAATGCGCATTGGTCGTGTAAGTTCATCTAGATTTTCAAATGTGGTTTCCCCTGGTCAGTGGTGTAGGACGGAGGGCCTGACAAGAACAACTGTCTAGTCGTTCAGATGGGACGAAAAACTGAGGATCCGTGTATACATTGACATGCACATAAAAGATCCCCTGGCAGTTGGAATTCGATAAAAGAGTAAGCCATAGAGATGCTGCCCAGGCAAAATTTCCCTCATAGCACACTGTATAGCGTATGCCCGTCTTCATTAGCCCAGTCAGAGCAGAACAGTAGGACGTTCTAAACCCCATTTCATTTCCCTTTTAATGCACCCACTTTGATATTTGACAAAATGACGTCTTTATTACAGATTCGGATGTTAATGTTTATGTTGTGAATCCTGGGATTGTTAATTCTAACGCTCATCGTCACATGCCGTTCCGAACAAACTCTTTCCTCTCATTTGCATTTTATCTACCGATGTATTTTTTGATGAAACTACCGGAGGATGGAGCTCAAACCGCTATATTTTGTACGTCTGCTGAATCGGTTGCCAAGGATACAGGAAAATTGTATAAGTAAGTCATACTGTATTATCTTATTTTTATTCTTAAATCGAGTGGTTCAGTGAGTATGTGCTGGCTGACCAATCGGGACATCACTGGATCGATACTGATAATGGCAGAGAAAGTACCTCTGGTTTACCCTTGTCACTGGTACAGGATATGAAGGCCAGGCAAGGAACAGTCTAGTCATTCGAATAGGATAAAAAGTAAGGTCATTTGAACCCTTAAGAATTATAAAATTGTAGGCAGAAACATCTCTGTCCATGTAAATTTTCCATCATATCACACTGCATATGATGGCGCAGAAAAGTAGGAAGTTAAACAATGTTTCATTTCTCTTTAAGACTACAGTTGACTTATTATATTTAACAATAATAAATCATCTTATATAGCACTAAATTATGTCCACTGGTCATTTCTTAGCACTTCACAGTGAGGTCATCTATTTGTTCTTACACAAATATTTGGTAAACAGATGTATCTTTAGTTAGTGTTGTTTTAACACTTGAAAATAGAATTGTCGAGTGCATCTGTTGAGGAAACTCATTCCATAAATATGCACCATGAACTGGCAAAGAGTATTTTCCATACAATTTATTATATCTGGGAACCGAAATCAATGTTTTATCTGCTATAGTTGACTTGTTGTATTTCATAGAGATTATAAGACTATAGTTATGTTTAGTAGAGATTATAAGACTATAGTTGTTATGTTTTATAGAGATTATAAGGCTATAGTTTATAGGGATTATAAGACTATGTTTTATAGAGATTATAAGGCTATAGTTTATTATAGGGATTATAAGACTATGTTTTATAGAGATTATAAGGCTATAGTTTATTATAGGGATTATAAGACTATGTTTTATAGAGATTATAAGGCTATAGTTTATTATAGGGATTATAAGACTATGTTTTATAGAGATTATAAGGCTATAGTTTATTATAGGGATTATAAGACTATGTTTTATAGAGATTATAAGACTATAGTAGTTATGTTTTATGGAGAGTATAAGACTATAGTTTATTTGTTGTATTTTGTAGAGATTTAGCCGAATGTAAATTAGAAGATTCTGTGTGTAATCTGGAAGCTGGAGAGAAGCTATATAAACAATCTCTCATCTGGACGAACATGAAACAACAGAAGAAGATCATCCTTGAAACAGAATTATAAACATTTTACACAGTTGATAATACACTTTCAATATTTTATGTAATAACAAACCCTAAATGTCCATTTCTTGGTGAAACTTTATTGGTCAACATTTTTATTCTATTAAATCAAATTCCATTGCCAAATTGTAATGTTTACGCTATAAAAAATGTCTTCAGTCATTATTTCATCATCAAAATTATCGAATTCAAGATTTTTGAATTTGAGCAACAATTCTTTAATATGTAAATGATGAAATTTTTGGCTGTTATAGACTAAGTTTTTGTAAAATATTTTTGTTACTTTGTTGATAAGACAGAGGTGATGATAATGCTAGGTTCCCACTATCACGCTTCGTGCTGTGATTGAAATCGTGGTTTTAATTCTCGAGTAACTGTGTTGATTCTCTCATGTCTTATCATATATCAGTTGTAGCAATCGTGTTGATCATATCTACAAATAGCAGATCGTGGACTAGCGGAAACCTAGCGTAACTCAAAGGTGATATTTGTCTCAATATAACTTACATAAACTATAAATTATGGTGGTTTTTATTTAGTTTTATAACCATATTGCCTCTGTTGTGTTCAGAGATTATATTGTAAATACTGAAGTAAATATAGATATTGTTGAATATTGTAGATTCCATTACTCTATAGATATTGTAGAATATTATAGAGTTGTTCTCGATGTACGTTTAGTCTTCCAGAATAGTTATATATAGACTGTCACATGATACCATATAAAAAGGATGCTTAATTCAGCCTTTATTATTAAAAACAAAAATTTATATAGAAAAGGAAATTGTTTCTCTTCTGCTGCTATGCGTGTATACATGTATAATCTTTAAGTGGCATTTATTTTCTGTTATGGGTATATACTTTTAATTATTAGTATGATAGTCACACATTTAGTCATTTATTTCAAGCAATTTAGTCACTGATATCAAAATTATTTAAAATACCACTAGAAGGTCAACTAGACCTCAAATTTAAATTTGATGTCCCAGGAGGAATTAGAACTTTAACTGGTATAGTCTACTTTTTGCTATGGCTTGGAAAATCAAAGGTGAACAAGACCACAAATTGGATTTTGTTGTCCCAGAGGAATTAGAATTTCAACTGGTTTCGTTAACTGGTACAGCCTACTTTTTGCTATGGCTTGAAAAATCAAATATTTATTTGATTTAGATGAAACATAAAATCTCTTAGATTATTTTACTGCCCAAATATTGTTTGAATTAGAATAAATAGATTTGAATTAGAATTAATGCTGTTACTTTATTGAGATTTTTTTTATACAAATATATTTTTCTTTTGATATTTTCTGCTTTTGCATTTGTAAATATTGTTTCTTTCTTTTTTTTTGATACTGCATTTATGCTAATCATTCCATGGTCTTGGGGCATTCTTGAATAAACCTACTTAATGTACACTATGCTTTATAGATTTTGAACGTGTAAAAAAACATACAATTAGCCTTAATTTTAAAACTAAACTACCCATGCAGGCCCTTCCGAACGAAATTTGTATGGGGTTGGGAGGGGAGCTGCAGGGAAAAAATTTCTAAAGGCTTTTCCTAGGGATAATTATTAACTAAGGAAGCCATATTTGCAAATTAATCTGGTGGTGCTTCCCAGATTATGACAGGCCTGTCGTGTAATTATTGGGGTGGTGCTCCCCCGATTCTGACAGGCCTACCATGTAATTACAAATCCCTGCATTCTTTCTTTTCATACTTAATTTTAAAACTAAACTACCCATGCAGGCCCTTCCAAACGAAATTTGTATGGGGTTGGGAGGGGAGCTGCAGGGAAAAAATTTCTAAAGGCTTTTCCTAGGGATAATTATTAACTAAGGAAGCCATATTTGAAAATTAATCTGGTGGTGCTTCCCAGATTATGACAGGCCTGTCGTGTAATTATTGGGGTGGTGCTCCCCCGATTCTGACAGGCCTACCATGTAATTACAAATCCCTGCATTCTTTCTTTTCATACTTAAATTTAAGATAAATACGTGTATTATTGTTTTGTAAAATCCTGAATTTTAAATTGATACACTCCATATACATGTCACCTGAAAATTGAACAGGTATATTGTAGAATTTCTGTCTCAAAAAGATTCAGAAATAAATATAGCAATAATATCTGTAACTCCAAATCATATTCCGGGGTATAAGTTTGATATGGCGATGACATGATAACACTGATATTTCTAAATAGACTAGATGGAGTCTATAGATCGAGTGAACATTTAAGAAAAAGATGACAACATACTGATCCTTTCCAGGGGGTTGGATGGCTGAATGGTTAGCGTGCGCGCGCTGTATCATAAAGTCTGTCATTGAGTCGACTGGCGTGGTTTCGAATCCCCGGTTTTACGTGACAAGGAGAAGGGTCGCCTGTCCAACCTCGTGGGTTTTCTCCGGGTCCTCCGGTTTCCTCCCACTGCTAAAGACCCCTACACGCAAGCGAATTATGTAAATAAAATTAAACCGTATGTTAATCCCGAAATGACCTAGTTTGTGTCGAGTGGACGTTAAACCCCATTTCTCTCTCTCTCTATTGGTAATTTATATGACAGCCACCTAATGAATCACTCCATTCCCTGTCCAGTTTATGGCCTTATTTATTATTATTATTATATGTGTATTGTAATGTATATGTTTGTTGGTTGTGGGTAATATACAGAAAAAAACTCTGATTGTTGAATTTATCAGTATGTAATTTAAAGCAGTTATCCCAGATAAATTTACTATATTTGATTTACTAAATCATCCGGCCAGATGTGAAAGCTATGATGATGGTAAGAGAGTGTCTCAATTCAACAGTAGAATTAGGAAGAGGAGTGTTACATAAGCTAAGCCTGTTCCTCAATCTCATTCAGATATCTGAATATAAAATATTCTAAAAAAAAAACAAACAGTAGAAATAAGTGAAGTTATCCAATTAAGCCTATCTAGCTAAGGCTTGCAAATGACCTAGTATTTTATGATAGACAGGCTATTTGGGTTTTTCACATACATTTTGTCTTGAATTTGCACACGTAAAGGGTTCCCTGTGAAATCTGGGACTGCATCTTTAAAACTTGGGACCCTGCCTTTAAAACCTGGGACACTGCCTTTATAAAACATAATATTATTGATTGCAAGATTTTATGAATGAATGATTTATCAATACTATAACTATATATCTTGAGTTGTGATACAAGAACTGAGGTTATTGTAGAATCTAAAAATATTTGTAGAATTGTTTTTATTTCATGTAGATAGATCGTAATAATGACTACGCAATTTAAATTAGAATATTTATAGTAGCTAAGAAAAATGGAAGGTTGTGTTGATTATTTTTATTTTCAAATGTATTATATATACATGATGTATCTTAGAATGAATTATGAAAAATCTGAATAATTTGTGTGAGATTAAGAGTTTGATTGGCCTCTTTTATCAGAATCATATAATTATCTCAGATTAATAATAATAAAAACTTAGATAATTCACTCCTTTTATTAGAATTATATAATTTACTTCAGATTATTATAGTAAATTATGAGTAATTTGAATAATTTGTGTGACAATAGAATGTAGACTGCCTACTTTTATCAAACTCATGATTTACTTGAGATTACTATCGTAGTCCTTTTATCAAAATCGTATGATTTAGTTGAGATTAATATCATAGTACTTTTAGTTTTATAAAAAAAAATTCAGATAATTTCATTGATCATCTGTTTGATGAAAATGTTCATTTAATTGAATTGTCTTTTTGATAAAATAATTTTATTTGATATTTGTGTATTTTCTGTAATTCTGTGAGGAAATAAACCAAGGTCCCTTTACAGCTGGAATTCGATAAAGGGTGCTGGTAGGTGTGGGGGCTCAGTGAGTAAGGCGTTCGTTCACTAACCAGGAGTTCCTCTGGATTAAATGTGGTTTTTGCTTGGAGGAGGACAGGGACACTGGCAAAAATTCTGTCTAGTCTTTCTGATAGTATGATAAAATTGAAGTCCTGTGGATTTAAAAGAACCCTTGACTGATGGAATTGAAAATAAGAGTAGGCTGTTGTGCTGTTATCTGTTTACTTGTTCAGATAAAGAAGACTTTTTATATGTGGATAAATAAGATCAAGATTTAAACCTGTGTTTGCTGTGTATTTTAAAGGGCGTATGGCTCTAGTTTTTTTAACCTTGAAATAGACAAAAATGGTTCTAAAAGCACATATTAATGTTATGAATGTATGTAAAGATTTATATTCAATTTTTGAAAAAAATCGGTGAAATATGTGAATAGTTCAAATTGAACGCCAGTCGCTTTAACTGTGCGTTCTACACGTTTTATAATTAATTATTTTGTTGTTGTGAATCGGCCTTTACTAATTACTTCTGCATTGTGTTATTACAAAATGGCACCCGAAACCAGAGTACACGACTCGTCCGTACTGATTATAAAATGTTGTGTCTTAAATATTGGATATTAAAATTCTATAGTTTCACGGCAAGATAACAACATAAATATTCATTGAGATTAATCTATATTGAATTCTAATTCATGTTTTCGAATATTATGAAAAATATTGAGTTAGAGACTTAGCTCCTTTAAACTTAGTACATATTTTGTGTAGAGAATACTCCATTTATAAACCTACGGTACATATTTTGTGTGGAGAATATTCCATATACCACATATTCTTTATAAAGAATATTATTATTATTATAGTTATTATTAACACCTGTATCGGATCAATCATCACAAATACATGCTATACAAAAAAATCTAGGTGACAAAAATAAAATACACCCTGATTACTTATAAACGTTCACAAATATTCTACAGATGTTTTAACAAAAACCATATTACCAGTATTATAATTATCACATTTCGTGTTGAACTTAAAAGTTATGTGTGATTGGAGCGAAGCAGAATGGATTTGTTTTAAATTCAGTGTCGGCTAATTTTGAAATTGATATAATATGTGTTAATATTAGTTAATATGTTTTTTTGTGTGAACCAAAGACATTTCCCTTTTCAGTCCTTTTTGTGTAAATAAATTGCAATTGCAAGCTGAGGGAGCTCAATAAAGTGATATTAGGTTTTCTAGGGGAACATAAACTAGTTATTACCCTGAATAATTTATATTTATGTACATATACCCTGGCAGTGAGTCTGGACAGTATCCATGGTAGGATGGGGCGGGACTGTGATAGTCAGGGCAGTATCCATGGTAGACTTGGGCAGGGTCACAGGGAGGACTGTGATAGTCTGACCAGTGTCTGTGGTAGGCAGGGTCAAAGGGAGGGAACTGTGATAATTTGGTCAGTATCCTTGGTAGTCTGGGGCAGGGATAATTGAAAAGATTATGATAGTTTCCTTGGTAGTCTGGGGCAGGAACTGTGATAGTCTGGGGAAGGGTCAAAGGGAGAGACTGATAGTCTGGGGCCGGGTCACAGGGAGGGACTGTGATAGTCTTGGGCAGGGTCAAGGGGAGGGATTGTAATAGTCTGACAGTGTCCGTGTTAGGCAGGGTCAAAGGGAGGGACTGGAATAGTCTGGCAGTGTCCGTGGTAGTCTGGGACAGGATCTGTGATGGTTTGGTGCAGAAATTGTAGTAGTCGAGCAGTCAGTCAGAAATGTCTCGGGTTCGAAACATGCTTGTTCTCGTCTGTCATGGGTGATGATGAAGCCAGGGCTGTCAAGAGAAGTGTTGCCTTGTCATTTGATATATTGCCTCAACACGAAAGAAAGAGTGTGTAATGGAAAAGTATACCTGAAGATTTTAGAGGTAAGTTAAAATTAAGTATATTTTATACATCGTATTACTTGACCAGGCCCCAAGTTCACAAAGCATTGTTTGCCTTATTTTAACTAAACTATAGCCCTTTAAAAACTTTTGTTGTTTTAATGTATCCAATACATCAATCAGAAACTATGTGCAAAGTTTTATGTTTCTGGATCAAAGATATTTCTCATAAACACTGATTGAAAGTTGAGTAAATTCTTAACTGAAGTCTGGGGCCTTTCGTTTCAGACATATTGACCTTTTTTGACTGACTGGCAGCGAAACTGACCAACAGGAGAACTTAGTTTGGATTCAAAGAGATTAAAAAGAGGCCATGAACAGGTTTAATTTAAAATGGAATGAGGTTTAACGTCCTACTGTTCTGCTCCTATGCTGGGCTAATGAAGTCTGGCATACACCATACAGTGTGCTTTGAGGGAAATTTTGCCCGGGCAGCGGCACTATCGCCTACTCTTATATCGAATTCCAACTGCCAATGGATCTTTTACGTGCATTCCAATGTATACACGGGACCTTGTTTTTTCGTTTCATCCGAAGGACTAGACAGCTGTCCTTGTCAGGCCCTATGTCCTGCACCACTGACAAGGGGGAACCACGCCGGAAAATCTGGATGCACTTTCTCGGCCAATGCAGGGATCGAACACCCGACCTCCAGGCTAGCCACGTGATCCCCTGGTTTCATTTAAACAGTGATATATACAATACTACAATGTCAATGTGAAGGGGAGAATTTAGTCTACATTTCTTCCTGTATAAGAATAGGAAAGTTGGTCATAAAAATAATGGATTCCCTAAGTATTAGATAACAACCAAATGAAACTTACACATCTAGATCTTTAAACCTCCAAAATACAGCATTTAAACAGGATCCCTATATTTACATGTATATCTAATCTGTGTGATTTAATATTTTATTTCTGTTAAATATGTCTATTTAAAGTACAGATGTGATGTCGTCCTTTGATGTTGTACCATTATTTCAAATAATGGTATGGGCAATGTGCCAAGCTTACATTGTTTATACTAGTTGAAATATTGGACCGTCGTCGTGACGTATTTCATTGAAATGCATGTGCTGGATAGTGTCTGTCTTTTAAGTTGCTTAATATATTAATATAGCCCTCGTGCTAACACACTCATACAATGACAATATATTACTTAACGTCTCGCCCTCAACCATTAAACTAGGGGGGGGGGTGGATGGCCGAATGGTTAGCATGTGCGCGCTGTATCATAAAGCCTGTCATTGAGTCAACTAGCGTCATTTCGAATCCTGGGTTGTACATGGTTGTAGGATCGCCTGTCCAACCTCGTGGGTTTTCTCCAGGTCCTCCGGTTTCCTCCCACTGCTAAAGACCCCTACGCGCAAGCAAATTATTGAAATAAAATTAAAGCATATGTTAGTCCCGAAATGACCTAGTTTGTGTCGAGTGGACGTTAAACCCCATTTCTTTCTCTCTCTCTCTTAACCATTAAAACACACTTAATGTTGGGTTTGAAAGTGTCAGCAATGAGCTGCATGGTAATCAAGCAGATGACGTCAAAATGCATCTTACGTTGTCATGGTATTCGATCTTGTGGACAAGTGAGTTTACACAAATCAGTTACCGGTAAATTTTATAGAAAAACTTTATACAATACTATAAAAGATAAGTAATGAGATTTTCCACATCTTTGGCAGTATTTTATTTTAGTTTTGAATATTATTTTTTTTGTAAAGGTATATATTAATGATTTTATGAGATGATTTCGTGTTTTGTGTGTGTGTTAGAAATGTAGAAGGATTAGTTAGATGAGAGACTAATGTAATCTCTTGTCAACAACATAGCATCTTCGACTACAGTTTTTCTCTAACATCTTAATGTCAATATTGTTTTTACTAAACGTCTTAAAGTGGCCTTCCTGTTGAGTTTATGTAATGATTGTTTTGTTATCGGTATGTTTGTTTTTGTTATGATTTGCTTTATAATTGTTTTTGTTATGATTGTTTTATATCATTTTTTTAAGGATTGTATTTATGGTTGTTTTTATCTTATGATTGTTTTTATGGTTGTTTTTCTTGTGATTGTTTTTATGGTAGTTTTTTGTTTGTTTTTTTTGTTAGGATTATGTGTTGATTTTTGGGTGATTGTTTTTTTTGGGGGGAGGGGGGGCAGGAGGGCAGATGATCAAAGCCCAACTGCTTTACAACTATACTCAGGCCCAAGTTTAACAACAAGTTGGTTTTAAAAGGAGAGACACACTTTATTTTCAAAACAAATCTATCTGCACCTGACTCTAAAAGTAAACAAATTGTCTTTGTGTTCGTCATTTTTATCCGCTACAACATCAAAGTGAGAAAACATCTGAACTACAAAATTTTGTGTGGAATTATGCTGTTTCTTGATGGGGAAATATATACAGAAAGTTATAACTTTGTAAAGTTTTGTGTTTATTTCAGAGATCTATAGATTATTACTACATGAAGTTATGTAATTCTTATGAAAGGCAAACGCTTGAAACGCGTCCTGGATAAATCCTTTTTATATCCACACAGTCTTGTCAAGTTCGTTATCAGGGATTTTTTACTTTGATTTATCTTCAAGGAATGGTTCCTGTTTTTCCTCAGATGCATCAACGAGATCCAAACTTGTCTGTACTGTTATAGGGACTCTTCCGCCCTTCTTGGGATTGTTTATTATGGAAGAAAATGGTAATTAAGATTTTTTTGTGGTTAAAATTCCCTGAGATTTTCCAGCGTGTTTCCCCCTTGTCAGTGGTGCACAATGGAGGGTCTCGCAAAGAGTAGTGTCTAGTCACTTTGATGGGATGAAAAACTGAGGTTGGCATGCAGGTAAAAGACCCCTTGACAGTTGGAATTAAACATAAGAGTCGTCTATGGTGCTGCTGTCTGGGCAAAGTTTCCTGGACATCACCTGGTTTTCAAGCCAGTGCCTTTCTGAGCCACTGTGGCTCCCATGTCATTTCGGGGGCTTCATTGAAGTGTTTCTT